ATAATTTCGAACCGGCTCTCTTCAAAATTAGTTCGAAGCATAAATTATCTATCGAACCACTCGCGCATGGAAATATTTCAGATATCCATATATATATATATATATATATATATATATATCCTAGACGTAGCTAAAGCCAAGACACACACATATATGCATATAAATATATGCATGTATAGCTAACGGCTTTCAACTTTGCAATTCGTTCACAGTCGACATTTGGCTTGCTTTTTTTTCATTTGTTTTTCTTATTTTTATTTCGCTTTTAACAAAAGACATTTTGTGGCCGTTGCCTGTCTCAAATTTCCTTTTTCATTTATTTAACGCATATTTCTGATAGCTGGAAATTATCTTGTTACCTGGATTGGAATTCAGCTTTGAGTGTGACACACAGTTAAATCAGTGCAGATTTATTTTAAGCTATTTCATTATATAGAATTTCAGGCTTAAAATTGCTTGTGTGTTTTATACCCTGCACAGTAAGTGAAAACGGGTTTTGTTTGTGCGTTCGATCATATGAATAGGCTTGACTTGTCTAAAATTCTCTAAAATTCGCCACGCCCACTGCTTCTCACAAAAGGGAGCATAAGATATATATTTTAATTACTTTCACAGTTTGAAAGTCACTTGCACTTTAAGAGTCATCAATTACAACAAGCAGAACAGTGTATTGCGCAGTCGGTTGCAGCCGACTGTAGGCTTTTAACTAGTTTCGCATTTGACATGCAACAAATAAAAGTCTTTGCATGTTTGATGCGACATAATAAAAAGTTTTTACATAAATACTCTTAACAGTATTATTACCAAATTGAGTTTTCCCGTTTATGTTATGTTAGCTTACTTCACCACCCGCTGCCCCCTCCCCATTCACTCGTTTCTACACTCTGCACAGCTGTTTACATTGAAAAGTTGATCCATTGTCACATTTACTTTGTTTTTTTTTTTTTTCAGTTTTCTTTCCGTTCTGCTTCATCGCAGCGGCAAAATGCAAACGTACCAACAATTTTCTTAGTTCTTCGTTTGCTAAATATATATATATATATATAAATATATATATATTATATGCTTTTTTTTTTGTTGCCTTTTTTGGTTTGTTTAATTGACTCGAAAACCAGTTTTATTTGTTTGCAAGCAAAAAGCAGCAACAAGCATTAAAAGCAAATATAAATTGTATGCGGCTCTGCTGCAGCGCTGCTGCTGCTGCTGCTGCTGCTGCGCTGACGCTTGTGCCGTTCCGCTGTTTTTTTCTTTTCTTCTTTTTCTTCCACAGAGAGAGAGAGAGGCACTTGGAACGCTGCTGCTGTTTTTTTTTTTTTTTTTTTTTGTTGTTTTTTGCTTATCATAAAGCGATTATTTTTGGGCTGGCAAAATAAAAGCATAAAGGCATAGAACTTTTACGCTATGGCATGTGAGAGTCTCCTCTCTGTCTCGCGCTGCTTGTGCATGAGTGTGCATGAGTGTGTGTGTGTGGGTAAGTGCGTTGTGCTCAAGCTAGCGAAGCTTTAAACTCGTTATTGCCCGCTGCCGCTGCCGTTGTCGCAGCTGACGCCGACGCCGACGCCGAAACCGACGCTGGCATCGCCGCAACTAAGCAGCTTCTTGTTGCTGTCTCGCTTACTCTAGTCGTGTTTTCGGTTTAGTTCGGTCCATTGCGTTGATGATTTTTTGTTTTTTGTTTTTGTTGTTTTTGTTGTTTTTGGTTTCTCTCTTTCAGTCTGCATTTAGTTTGCCTTATTTTGCTTTACGTTTTAATGTTGCTTTTAATTAGAAATTAGTTCTACTTCATTAAAATTGCTTGTGCTCGACGATGTGCAAATTGCCGTTGCTTGGCCATTTGTTGTGATTAATTAAAGGCTGCACAAAAAATAAAAACAAACATAAACAAAAACATTTCATTTGTTGTGCGCCTTTCATCTTAAAAAATTAGGTTCTGTTTTTTGTTTTTTTTTTTAATACGTTTTTATGGCTGCACACACGTGCGTTAAATGCGTTTAGCATGCCTAATTTATGCAAATTTAATTGCCAGCAGACAATTTAACGATGTTGCAACATGCGCCCGACAAAGGGCAAGCAAGGGGGCGGCAGATCGCGTATCCTCCCCGCAACATTTTAGCCACAGCCTGATTTAATTATGCAAAAAAAAAAATAGATTAAATGAATTATGAAAATTGTTTTGTAAGTTCACAATTATGTATTGGGACAAAAATAATTGCATACTCATGCATACACTGCGCAAAATATAAGCTTAATTTAGAAATAAAACATCTTATTGTTGATCTTAACTATTTGGAAATATGTGCGAAATTTGTTCGACTTTGAGCTGAAAATCAGCCGAGGACGCAAAAATTTGTCGAGTTTTCATTTGGCAGCGATCACTGTAGTCGCAGCTACACACACACACACACATACAGTAAAGTCATCTGCAATTTGGCAACGTTGCAATTTACCGCAATGAATTAACAGTTAGTCTAAACATGTCAGCAATTAGAAAGTGCACACTGATGCATGAAAATAAAGCACGATTAATGCATATCACGTATTTAGTTTTCTAGGTATGCCATTAATTTTTCAACTCATTTTTCACGAAACACCCTAATTTTTTTGGTAACTGTTTTTTTTTTAACGAGTTTAAGTATCGCAGAAAGTTGCACAAAAAAAACAGATAACTTTATTATAAAACTTTTAAGGGGCCTGTCGTGTGACATGCACACCTACACACACACAGACACCTACACACACACAGGCACGCTCACACTTCGCAGCTGGTTTAATTATAAAAGTTGAAGTTTAAATCAATCATTTAAGAGCGAGCCGGAATTATACTCATTTCATTTTAAAATAATTTTTAAATTTTTCAGCTTTTTGTTGCTTTTTCTTCTTTTTGTTGTGTAGGCCTTATTTATTGATAAATATTCTTGCTCTTATTTATAGGATTTCCTTTTGTTGTTGTTGCTGCTGCTGCTGCTCGTTAGCCCGTTCGTTTCATTTCCATACGTTTTATTTTCACGCACAGTGTCACAAAAGCGCACAACATGCCGTGCACATGGCGCCATACAACATTTCAAGCATGTTCAACAGCACTCGAGCACACTGTGCGTGCAAATGTCGTGGCGAACGTTGACGTTGACGTCGACGTCGACGTTGCCGTTGCAAAGCGACGAAGCAGCAAGCAGCGCATACACCGAATATCTTCAATTGTTGTTGCTGTGCGCTATTTAAACACAGATTGTCGTTGTTGTTGTTGTTGTTTTTGGTTGGCTTTTTGACACTTGCACTAAATATATACATCTAGTATGTATATGCATACACAGACTAAAACAGTTATACTTACAAGCATGTATCTATGTATAAAAAAAAAAAATAAAACACAATATAATGCTGGCTGCCAATTTTCGCTGCCTGCCCTTTTGTTTATTTACATTTATTAGCCTTGCCCTGGCCGGCTGTTTAGTCACTTTGCTACGCACGACAAATGCTCGGCTTAATTTATGCTTGTTTTGCCGTCGGTCTTTTTACAGCTGCTCTAGCGTTCGTGATTGCCGCACACAGATAAATAATAATTGCGAACAAACTGTCTGTCGTTCGACTTGCACGAACCGTTCACGTTCACGTTTTGACAGAAACTGAAACGTTTCATTGCCAAGGCGTTGCGCTGTAGCCGTTTGTACACTGTAGCGGAACGCATGAACATGACGAAACGACTGCCCGACCGACCGATCGACTGTCGACGAAGCATGTGCGACGTGACGACGGTGAGACATTTCGGCGAGACCAACGCTCCGAGTGTGGTGAACAAACAGGAGGCGCATGAGTGCGAGTGAGCTAGACTGTGTCTGTGTGTGCGTGCACATATGTATGTATGTGTATTGCGCCATCGCCAGTTGGTGTGCATGTGTGTGCCACCACTTGTCTGTGTGCATGTAGCTGTGCATATTTCGTTTGTTTACAGTTTTGCGTTGTTTTCTGTTGCTGTCGTTCTGTTGTTGTTGTCGTATTGTTTTTTTTTTTCACTTGGTTTATGTTGTTTCATTCCATTTGATTGTTTTAAATTGAGATTTGTGTGCCAAAAGCGTCGCAGCGGTGGTTTGTCTACGTTGTTTTTTGTTGTTGGATCCCAGGACAGCGCATATGACTTTTGTGGCAATTGTTTTTGTTTTCATATTGTTGCATTTATTGTATATGAACAATTTTTTATAAATTGTAAGCCGCAAGAAAACAATCAAAACTACAATTTCTGCATGCATAATTTTTACTGGACTACGTGTTGCTTATAATTTTCGGTTATTTCTATCTTTTGTTTTTTTTTTTTTCCGTGCGACAGCTAATTGGATTATTTGCGCAAGAAGGGGAAGGGTAGGGGGGGTGGCGCGGTAATAGAGCAAAGTTTTTTGATTAGGTTTCAAGTTCCCCCAACGCGCACACTGTACGCACATACATACACACATACACATGTGTGTGTGTGTGTGTGTGTGCGTGTGTGTGTGTGCATTTAACCCATGGCAATGGCAATCGCACATTTCACATGGGCGCTCATAAACAACGTATTAAGTTAATTAAGCTTCATCTAATTTAGTTACACATCTCACAAAGCGTAAAGTTATTACCGTTATTTGCCATGTGCTGACATCAGAAGTTCATTGCTGAAGTGTGGCAACGTTGCAAATTGTCCAAATTTGATTAAAAGTGAATACGTGCAAATCAATTGAAATTCGATAATTAAATCAATATTAAAATTAAAGATTTGCATTAAAAAATACCTAATATATATACAGGGAGTATATAGTTTTCATGGTAAAGATAAAAGATTTTAAACATTGCCTGTTGAGCCCTAAAAAGCCGCAACTTCAACAAAACCAATTAAATATGGAAGCGTTGCATTTGTTTAAGCAACTTTTACAAAAAAAATAAAAAAAAATTGTATATACATTAAAACAAATTGAAATTCGGCAACGCTGCAATATCTATTACGTTTTTTAAATAACTGCTACAACTTGACTTACCGTTATCAATCATTGCTTGACTAACCCACCAAAGGCCCATTTGGAAATGAAAAAATGGAAGCTGTTGAAAAAAAAAAAATAAACAAAAATCTATTTATATTATTCTCCTACAAAACTGATGACGTCACAAACAAATTACAGCTACAACGTCCTTGGCAATGATGCGCCTCACTTCATTGCATATACATATACATATATACATGTATGTGTGTGTGTATGTTCAGGTGTTTGTATGTACATGAATGTACACTAGATAAGCTCCATTACCAGGCAGCACAGTGTATTCGTAACTTGTATGTAACTTCGAACCGCAAATTGTGACACAAAATGCAACATCAATAAACGATAAATGTAATAAAAGCTCTCACACACACAGACAGAGGGACGTACAATGCATGACGATAATAATAATAATAATAATAATAATAATATTTCTTTAATCAAACTACACAATTGATTGCATTATTGACAAGCCAAACGAACGATAAGCGAAGGCAGAAATGGCAGCAGCGCACAGTGGTGCAATTCAATTGTTAATTGAAAACTAATGAGTTTTGCAATTGTCTAAAAATTAAAAATCTAGACAAAGCTGTTATCAAAGTAAGGGCATATCTATATATAGATAAAGTAAGACTGGCTTTATAGTATATTATTAGGCTAGAACTAGTTTTTTTCTTTAAATAAAATATCTTGATATTAAAACTTGGTAATAGATAAATACAATTTATTTTATAGATAAATAAAGCAAAAGCATTCAAACCAATTTTAGCATTCAAACTAATGAGTTTTGCAATTGTCTTCATAAAATTCAAAATCATGGCTAAGCTGTTTTCAAAATAGAAGCATATAGCTGGCTTTGTGTAGAGGATTATATTAAGATATCATATCAAGCAAAAATAACTTGGTTTAATATGTATGATTAAAATGATATACAAGATATAATTATTTTTTTAAAGTTAACACTAATCTAAATATCAGCTAAATTATGATGAACGATGTTCAACGATGAAAGTTGGTTCAGTTCATTCTATTTACCAATTTCATAGCACTTTTTAAAATTGAAAATGCAAAAATTACTCGATGTTCCTATATCTCGAACACTAATTTATACACATACATATACATTGAAGTAAAATTTGGCGAAATAGCTTTTGAATGGATAAATGCAACTGGAACCAGTGTGCGCATACTTCTCAGCGCATCAAATTCGTTGTGGCAACAGCAACAAAATAAGACTAAATAAAATAAACGGAAAATAATAACAGTAACCCCAAATATGTATGTGTACATGTGTGTATGTATTTGTGCGTGTAAGTATGTATATGTGAATGTATGTGTTTATTTAGCAAAGGCAGATAAGTCTCCCCCGCTGCGTAACAAATTAAAGACAACCTATTTTTAGCAAATGCCCTACTCCGCGATTCTCACAAATTCAAGTAAGTGTTGAACGTTTTGAATGCTTTGATTACAAGTGTGATATAAACAACTGCTGATGGTAGTCTAACAAACATTAGATGGAAGGTGTGCATGCATGTATATATGTATTTGTGTATATGTATGAATGAGGATTCAAATCTTTGTATGTATGCATATACTTGTATTATGTTATCAAAAAGTGAAAAAGAAAAGAAAGGAAATATTGCAAGCAATACCATAAATAGCAAAATAATGTGATAAGCGCACATTGAACGACGCCCAGTTAGTTGCCATTGCCACATGGAGCGTTTGGCTGAGGTGCAGCAACAGCAGCCGCTGCAACAACAAGAAGCGACAAGTGCAGTAGAGAAGGACAACGAACGCACCGTGCGCTGCAAACGAATTCGATGCGAGGAGCGGCGACAAAACGCTTTTACTCTCCCGTCTCCCATTCTACTGCGTTCTCGCTCTTTCTTTTGGTTCAGGCGAACGAACGACGACGTCGACGACGACGTCGACGTCGACGGCGTCGGCAGCCAGCATAACACAATTTATCGTTGTCAAAGTTATCGCACACTCACTCGACGATGCCGTCGTTCACGTTGAGGCAGTCGAATTGCCGGGGGCAGCGACGCGGTTGGGTCACAGCCTCGCACAGTGGATACGAAACAATGAAGTATAAATGTAATTTAGGCAGTACTCGGAAAACTCAGATGACTGAAGTACGTATTTTTATATTTTTATGTTTAGTTTAAGAATAACAAATTTACCCTAATATTTAATATAGATAAATTTCCATTTACTTAATAAAATCTTAAATGTAGTATTCTATATTTTGCAATGTTCACATTTAAATGTTTTTTTTTTTTTTTTTTTTTTTTTTTGACAGTTTATTGCAATATGACACCCACTGTGCATTGCTGGACTCTAACTTTACAATCATCGTCGCTCGTTTTGCGGTTGCTTTTGCAGCTTATTTCTAGTTGCTGCACTGGTGCGTGTACGTGTGTGTGTGTGTGTGTGTGTGTTTGTGTGCGTGCGTGCGCGTGTGTGTGTGTTTGTGTGCGTGCGTCGCGTGTGTGTGTGTGTGTGTAAGTGCATGCGTCCGCGTCTTTGTGCTGTGTCTGTGTTTGCTTTTGGTTTCGTTAAAATTGAAAATGCGTGTAACGTGTGTTAATCGACTCGCCCGAATCACGGACTGCCCCAACTAACCCCAAGCAACTGTAGGCGTTACTTTTATTTTTTGCGATAAATTCAGCTCATATTTCCCAAGCAATGCTTGCCCCCTAGCCCATCCCCTTTGAGTAGTTGGCGTCGCTAGTTGAAATTATCATGAGCATTGGCTCGCTTGTTGTAGTTGTTTTTGTTGTTGTCAATTTGTTGAGATAATAAAAACTAACAGTTTGTAGTTTGATTTGTTTAACAAAGCAACGGCAGCAGCAGGTTCGTTGACCAGCTGGAGAGACATACAGTGTCACAAAGTGTTGCGAGCACATATGAAAAAACGCATGAAAAAACAACTAACAAGTAAGAGGTTCTAGTCGGGAGCTACCGACTAGGGGCTACCCTGAACCCTCTTCTTCCTATATGTCAAGTTTGGTGACTCTAGCTATTATTATCTTATTATCGATATCGATCTTTATCGATTGCTTGAAAATGGAGTAAGTTATCGATTATCGGAAACAAATTCGATCTGCGCGGGCACTAGGAGCACCTACATCTAACATTTCAAGAGTCTAGCTCTTATAGGTTCTGAGATCCTTGCGTTCATACATACGGACAGACGGACATGGCTCGATCGACTCGGCTTTTGCTGCTGATCAAGAATATATATACTTTATGGGGTCGAAGTTGCTTCCTTCTGGCTGTTACATGCATTTGAATTTTGCACAAATACAATATACCTTTATACCCATTGTTAATGGGTGCAGGGTATAAAAATATGATTGATTTTTTTGTGATTTTTTTGTGCATCGAAAAATTAGGAATTTCGTGTATTTATCAGTATCTGGCTAATTTAAAAATATGTTTGTACAACTATTTATTGCAGTTGCTGTTGTCGCGTCAAGGTCATCAGCCATCTGTCTCTTTTGGCAAATTGATAACAAAACGCAGAGCAAAAGCTCTTCACTAATGGGGCGCTGCGACGCCGGCAGCGGCTGTGACAGATGCACTAACGTGGATTAAAAATGTGCAGAAGACACGACTAAAGACAACGGCACAAACAAAAGCCGTCGCGCAAACCAACCCAGACAGCATCAGCGGCAGCAAAAACAATGCCAGGAGCAGTAAGCTGCTCGCGCTCTCTCTCTCTCTCTCGCTCTCTTTCTCTCTTGCAGTCTAGCTCTCTTTCATTCGAGCCGTCTATGGCACACACAATGAAAATGAAATGGAACAGCGGTAAATTACGTTTGGTAAGCAAAAAAAGTTTTAAGTGAAATTATGTGCATAGATTGAAGCGAATACTGACAGAGCTGAATATGGCAAAGCCTGTGCGTGTGTGTGTGTGTGTGTGTGCAAGTATTGATTGTCAGTCAGTTTGCATTATAATAAATTGGCCCTTGAGCATGCAATACCTGGTGCACAGTAATTAAATCAGCTGCTAGGTAAATACAGTGAGTCACAGCTTTAATGAACCATCGTGGCAATTGTTGATGATACAAATTAAGTGCTCTTTTATTGATTAATGGTAGTACGTGCACCATTTTAAACAATTATAAAACAGATTTGCAGTCAGACAACGGCTATTTTGTATAGCAAAAAAAAAATCGTTTTTAGCGAGCCTAAACTGTAGTTAATATTTTGGATATGAACAATGCAACCAATGCATTTTTTTTCCAAGGCGCACTCTAATGTGCCTTGCGGGCGACAATGAATGTGAGAGTGTGTCAATTCCATGAGACTTCAGCAATTTTTTTTTATTGGCGTCGAGTGGAAACAGAAGAGAGAGTCTGTTAATCTATTCTTCGAGTTATTTGAAATTAATTAAAAACGCGCATACCTCAATTAAAATAATATGCGATACTAAAATAAACACATCACAGTTTCTGACGCAGCATTAAAACTGTATTTGTTTCAACAAATGATAGCATAAAAGAAGGCACGAAAAAAAAATGTAAAGTGAATAAAATTCCAAAACAACGACGTCGACGTCAACGCATAAAAATGCAAATGAATATGAGAGTACACAAGCAAAAAAAAAATAAGAGCGGCTGTGTGGGAGAGCGCTAAGTGGGGCGACAACTGCGGTCTGAATGGGACAAACGGGAGATGGAAGGCACTGAGCATTGAGAACGCGCGCGCACACACACACGCATACACGCACGCACGCATACACGACGACTGCCGCCGACGCAGTCAAATGTCATTTGTCGTTGCAGGCGCGCTCAGTTGGAGCTTTGAGCACACACGTACGTATGTATGTTGTGACACACACACACACACAGGCACACATTAATAGGCATGACACAGGAGTGAAGCTGGCGAAAAATGTTTGAAATTCAAGCAAGTTGAAATGTTTTGCATATAAATTCGTATTTTTAGTTTTGCGCTTCGCCCCGCACAAAAGCTACGGCAGCTGCGCTGCTTTTCATTCATGTTTCTTGTTGTTGTTGTTGCTGCTGCTGCTGCGCTGCTTTTGTTTTCTTTTAGCGCTCTGGCCATTTGACTCAGACGCTGCCGCTGTTGCCACATTCGTTGTTGTTGCTGTTCTTATAAATTATGTACAAAATGTTGTTGATGTCATTTTCAAATGAAATGGAAAACTTTTGTCGAGGAGTAGCTAAAAAACAAAACACTCATTTCATATTTCAAATATATGTTGAATATATGACACACAAGAAAAATTAACGAACAACCAAAACTGTTCGTACAATTTAAAAAACATTGCAAAAAGCTTTAATTTGCAAACGAAACTTAAAGCTTTAAACTTTTATGCAAGTTCAGTTACATACGTGCCCACCTCTGCCCCTTTCACTCAACGAAGATGCCAACTTTAACTCAACAACAAAAATGAACTTGTGCAAAAGAATTGCAAGCGAAATTGAATGTGAAAGGGCGAGAATGCGAATGAGCGGGAAAGCGGAGGTGGTGTCACAACTTTTCTTTTTTTTTTTTATTGGCAACAGCAAGCGTCGAGGCGCTGTGAAATATTAAGCAATAAAGCACAACAAAAAGTTTTCAACTTCAAAATGTAATGCACACACACGCGCACACATACATGTGTGAATGCTGCTGCTGCAAATGTTAAAAATAGCAGTAGAAAAGGTAGCAGCAGCAGCAGCAGCAGCGACGTCGACGTCGACGTCGTCATCGTTTCTTGTTGTTGTGTGTGCTGTGCCAGCGCTTTTTCGCTGCTGTAATCAAGGCAGCGATGAGCGGAAGAGATAGCGAGGGGCGTGTGGCTGCTGATCATAGAGAAGAGAAATGTGAAGAGATAGAGCGAAGAGAAGATGTAGGTGGTGCTGGCAGAAATATTGGCATAAAGCGTAGTAAGAAGCGTGGCCAAACATAAATTTATTTGTTTGCTTTTGCTCCTGCTTTATATTATTCGTTCTCTTCACACACTTGCCGACTGGCATAACGACTTTGTAACGAAGAATGTAACACAATGAAGCGGCATATCCGCGGGCCATTCAAGTATATTTCTTCATACTTTATACAAAGCATAATAAACTATCTCATGTAGCTGTGAAAATGATGTATGGATAAATAAAGAAATGCAATATAAAATGGATATATTAAATAGGAATGCACATAGCAAGAGTATTTAGTTGTCGGCACTTTGATGATACAAATTCTTGCTTTTATTTCTTTTGTTTAGTTTAACTTGATTTATGAGCCATGCACACACGCACACACACACACACACAGCAGACGCTTTTAGGTATGTATGTATATGCATGCAGACACAGAGAAATCGAACTTTATTGATAGTCGCGCTGTAGCAATAAAAAGTGTGTTCGAAGGGTCGGCGTATGCTGCGGTGGGTGGGTGCGCTCGTTACAAGCAGAGCGCCGACAGTTAAGTGTGTGCGTGTGCGTGTGTGTATAGGCAAAATGTATGCCATGTTTATGTTTGGCACTTGTTTATGGCCAAGAAACTGGCAAAAGCAGACGACGAAACGAAACAAATGACAAGCACAAAAAACAAGATAGAAGCAGAGCACAAAAGTCCTACGAAATTGAAGACAAAGTCAGCAATGCTTCGGCTATGAGCCTTATCTCTTAACATCAAAGTTGCCGTAGAAAAAAGCCATGGCAAGGGGCTAGGGTGTGGGGCATTTCGTTGGATGTCGCCAAAAAGGAGGTCAGCAAAGTTTTAGCTTCAGCTTCTAAAGTCCATTAAAGTGCAAAAAGCACAAGCAAAAACAGAAAAGAAGAAATAAACGCAACTAAAGCCTTTGACATCGTGTAATTTGCTAAGCGCACAGAGCGAGATGGCAAGAGAGCGAGAGAGTGGCAGCAGATGTGTCCATCAAAATGCCCAAAGAACATGCGACTGTTGCGCGACGAAAGGGGTGCGAGCGGTACGCGCAAAATATATGTAAAACAAAACAAAAAAAAATAGAAGAGTTACGTGCCCAAAGTTGGAGCAGAGAGCGCGTGACTGGCAGGTAAAGAAATAACAAGAGTGCTCTAGTCGAGCGTGAACAACGAGAAGATACCACGTAACCAGCTTCAAGTGGCCGTTATATGAAATTCTACGTAAATGCGTGCACAACACACACACACACACACACATACGCAAGCTGTGCCAAACGAGCAGTTGCTGTGCTTCCTCTACCCTTTTCATTTCAGCAAGACGAAATCAACTTTGTTACCTATCTACAGGGTATTAGCAAAGCTATGCAAAGCACATCAGCAAAAGCCAAAGAGGCACAGCCGCTTCTAAAAGATATAAACATGCGGCAACTTAATGAGTGGACTTCCAGGAGGGTGTGTTGGCGAGGGGGGTAGGCCAGGGAGGCTGGCACCTGCCAAAAAAGCAACAAGCAAATAAACACAAGTGCGCAAAGCCAAAAGCGTCGCATGCAAATAAAAATCGCAACAACAACAAAACGTGACGCTATAACAACAAAAGTAAACAAAAGGCGCACAAAAACGGGTGAACGCCAAAGTCAAAATGTGCGCGCAATAAAATACTCGCACAATTGACGAAAAATAAAAGAATAGAAAAATAAAAATAAAACGGTAACAAGAACAGCGAGGACAGCAGCAGAAGTAACAATAACAAGCGAACAGCTTTAAAACGTAGCTGCGAATGTTCGTTTCGCATGCCAAAATGTTTCACCCAGCCAGCGTGTGAGAGAGAGCGAGAGAGAGATAGTGGGCGGGCAGACATGTTTCAATTCGCAAACGTTTTAACGCGCGCTCTGCCTGCCCCACATCAGTTCTTGCACTTTGTCTGTGTCCCACATCTTCGACTGCGCTTGAAGGCAGCGACGACGTCGGCGTCGACGTACATATACCGTTAAGGCGCAGCATGCATGTATTTTCTCTGTAATGGCAACGACTTTGGCGCCCCTCTAAGCACAAAACAATTGTACGCCTCACCATCCCCATACCCAAACACACACACACACACACACACACACACACACACACCGCAGCCACCTGCTGGCAAGGCAGAAAGCAAACAGAGCAGCAAAGGAAGCGAACTGCTTGTTGCACAGTGCAACAGCATTTAGGATTTTTTTTAATTACACGTTTTCATGCAAATTAGAGATGCGACACGACAATAGCACGAGCGGCCACACCTTGATTTTGTTTTCATTTGTAAATTCTATTTTTAGATATATAAGGCGAGAAAATTTAAAACAATAAATGATTTCATATAGCAACGGTAATGTTATATATTACCCAAAATGTTAATTAAACACTTCTAGACTTCCAATGCATTGAACATTTAATTTCTAATGTTTAGCTAGATTTTATTTATTGACTTTTTCATTTTCGAGGGAGCACTGTATTTGTTAATTGCCCATTTTAGCAATTCTATGCTCATTCACACTTCACAGTGGTTTATGACAAGTTTTTCAACAGCCGCATACCACTGTGCGCTGTTTCATTTCGCATAATGATACCGCCACTCATCCTCCCACTCTCTGTCTCATTCACACACTAATGCTCGGACTACTCAACGCTTGCCTTATAATTATTGTCATTACGTCATAAGCATGCAAAACCGACGTCGCGACGTTGCCGAAAGCTGTGCACTGCAAGAAGCGCGCTCTCTCTCTCTCTCTCTCACACACACACACACATGTATATATATAAATTCAAAAGGGCAGCGTTGCCGTCCTTTTTGATTTTGTTTTGATTTGCTTGGGATATTAATTTGGCGCGCGTTTTGCGTTCATTTTCTTCTTGGCCATTGCTGAGTATTTTCTTGTGCGCTTATTTTTAATGTGCATTTAAATGTTTGTTTTACGTAATAATTTGTTATTTTTATTGTTAGAACATGCAATGAATCGCTAATAGGGCAAAGGCGCCCAAGCGGCCGCAGTTGACATGCAAAAAGCTCAGGCAATTAACTTAACGTTCGAGAAGGCACGCGATAAAAGCCGAGTGCTTTTTTTTTACCGCTCAAATGGAGCGTAAAATTGACAGAAAATAAAAATTACGAATTGTTGCAATTGAACTTGAATAAGATGTCAGTGAGCGGTAAATGCAAATCAAAAGCTCAAGTGGTGTGCGTGAGTGTATGTGTGTGACAGCTTTCCAATTAGAATGTGTGTGTGTGTGTGTGTGTGTGAGTGCATTTACACGGATATGTGTGAGTGGGTGCAATGATGCATTAAATAAAATTGATAAACTGCAATAAATACACGCAATTGATTGCATGTCACAAATACTCTCACTTTCTCACGTGTGGGGTGTATACACGCACGCACACATACATATGCAAATGCATGCATGTGTGTGCGTCTCGTTTGCGGCGTCTGCAGCAACAATAACGCGGCCAACTAAACAGCTGAGCGTCAGCCAAATCGGCGGCACACACACACACACACACAAACACACATTAAAGGCACAGACAGCGGAGATTACATACGCACGGTCACACCGCGCTATGGGGCGTGTGCGCATGTATTTGTGCTTTTAGCTAAATTACAAAATATAAACAGACAAAACAGCTTACCGTTAGTTTTATGAGTGCAGTCAAGCTATATACAGTTATTCGTTTAATTTAGCGCAATTCAATTTGCAAGCGCAACTCTAAAAAATCGCCACACCAATATTCATAACACATGTTGTTTGTTTGTTTTTTGTTCATTTAAACTTTGTTAATTTAAAAACAGCAGATTTAAATAATTTTATTTTGTCACTAAAATGCCGCATTTACATATTTCTTATTTTTGCTGAAAATTCGAGCAGAACGCGTGCGTATCACACAACAACAAAAAGAGCACTGCATTGAGTGTGACTGTACTGCACCAACAGAAAATACCAAAAAATTAAGTAGAAAATACTGATTTTATGCTGAAAATTTCCTAAATTTGGTGGCGTTCGACAATCAGCTGTTTGTGCAGTGGCAGCCCTTGCCATGTTAATAACTAGAAGGTTAAGCTTCGCAGTTCAAATAAATAAAACCTGAGGCTGATAAGTTTGATGTGTCAGCACTTAAAATGAGTGTTATACTTTACGTTTTGATTATTACGTTTTGATACACGAATTGAGGAACTCTAATCTAGTTAAGCTACACCTTAAATGAACTAAAGCTAGTGTTCTGTGCTTGCCTTAATAATTGCCTATTGTCTGAGCGTGTGACGTAATGTGCGGAAGAGAATGTCACACGTAACCTTGAAATCGTAACAGGTGGCAACGCTGCGATTGTCACAAGTGATGTGTGTGTGTGTGTGTTTATGCGCGTATGTTGCAAAAAAATTTTTAATCAAATTAAAATTAGGAATATAAACCCAATTGGAAAGCAACAAACGTGCTGGCCGCGTGCAGCTGCAACTAGTTAACCGTTATGGCCAATCGCACGCGCAACAACACGACCAAGGTCGAGGCGCTAATCGAGAGCTGCCGCAGCGAAGGCAAATGGCAACGCGTCATCGAGCTGACGGACGAGCTGAAATCGGGATCACCGCATAACGGTAAAGCGTGGCCTTATATCCAAAATAAACTGGGACCTTTATCGCAATTCCCCCTTTTCGACTGACTTACAGAATGCCTGGCCAACTTTCTGATGGGCGAGGCGCGCCTCGAAAGCTATCTGGAGGAGCATGCGGTGGCCCCCGAAACGAACTTTGGCCGCGCCAAAAGCGGCCTCGCCGACGGCAGGCGCTATCTAAATCTCGCTCTCGGCGAGAGCGGCCAAAAGGCGGGCATCGCTCTTGACGCGCACCTGCTGCTGGCCAAGCTGTGCTACGCCTGCGGCGAGTACGAGCAGAGTTTGGAGAACTTTGTCAAGGCGGAGCTCAATACGCTCGCTGAGAAGGAGCTGACGCTGTAAGTTGCGCAACCTACCAGATGTTAAGCGTCTTTGCCCAGCAATAAATAAATAAATATTTTAAATATTTGTATTCGAAAACAGACGCAGCCTCAAGATTCTGGCCGAATCTTATGCCATCAAAGGCCTGTGCCTGGAGCAGCAGGCCTCCAAGCCGACATCCAAATTCAAGAAGGCCGAAAAGGACACGGAAATGGTGCGTTTTGCTGTTCACTCAATTTATTAACTAATTAGCAAATATCCCTGCAATTTTCTCGCAGATCTGTTGCTTTGAGCGCGCCTCTGATCTGGGTCTGCTCTATCTGCAGGAACACGATGTTGGCTGCGGCGGCAATAGCTCCTCGAACAATTCCACAGCCGGCTCCACGCTGAATGTGAACGCGGGCGTGCAGCAGTCGTCGAGCAGCTTTGCCATTAGCAGCAACCTGCAGAGCAGCAGCGCAACGCTGGAGGTGAGTCGACGCATGGGCGCCATACTGGAGACGGCGCTGCAGCGTGCGCCCATTGTGCTGATCAAGGCGGGCAAGCTGCAGGCGGCCGTGGAACGTTATCGCATCATGTTGAATGCCATCGAGACGCGTGCAACGCAATCGTTGCGCTTAACGCTCGCCCGCCAGCTGGCCGAGGTGCTGCTGCGCGGCGTTTCGGGCACAATATATGCTCCCCCCTTTACCACCAAATCGGGCGGCAGTACTTTACGTGGCGGCGGCGCCGCCAAGCGTCTGTGGAAGCCGCGCAAATATGCGGCACGTCAGCAATTCACGCCGCGCAATCAACAGGAGGAGATCATTCTCTTACTGCTCATCGCTGAGGCCTTGGCCGTACGGGACACTGTGCTCTCGCAGAGTCCGGAATTTCGGCTGGCGCGTCAGCATGCCATGGGCAATGTGACGGCTGTTTATGATCTGCTCACGCTGGCCACCATACGCTGGGGCTTGGTGCAGCTGCTCAATGAATCGTTCGAGAAGGCGCTCAAGTTTAGCTTTGGGGAGCAGCATATCTGGCGACAGTACGGCCTCAGTTTGATGGCCGCAGAGAAGCATGCGCATGCACTGCGCGTGCTGCAGGAGTCGATGAAGCTAACGCCCGGCGATCCGCTGCCCTGTTTGCATGCCTCACGCCTGTGCTACGAGAGCCTCGAGACCGTCAAGCAGGGCCTGGACTATGCGCAGCAGGCGCTCAAGCGCGAGGTGAAGGGTGAGTAGAGCTCATCCCAATGGAGCCAGATAATCTAGCAGCCCTTTGCTTCTCCTGTCAGGCCTGCGTCCCTCGCGCAGTCAGCTCTTCGTGGGCATTGGCTATCAGCAGCTGGCCATACAATCAACTCTCAAGAGCGAACGCGATGCGTACAACAAACTGGCGCTGGAGTCTCTGGAGCGTGCCGTGCAGCATGATGGCAACGATCACCTGGCCGAATACTATTTGTCCCTGCAGTATGCTCTGCTCAATCAGCTGGGCGAGGCACTGAGCCACATACGTTTCGCGCTGGCGCTGCGCATGGAGCATGCACCGTGCCTGCATCTGTTTGCCCTGCTGCTGACCGCATCGCGTCGTCCGCGTGAGGCGCTGGGCGTGGTTGAGGATGCGCTGCATGAGTTTCCCGATAATCTGCAGCTGTTGCATGTTAAAGCACACTTGCAACTGCATCTGGAGGATGCGGAAACCGCCTTGGCCACCGTACAGCATATGCTCGCCGTTTGGCGGGAGGTGTACGAGGCGCAGCTGGCCGCCGACGAGGAGAAGCATTCGGATACCAAAAGCGGTGTCCATCTGGTGCATTCATCACAAATGTCTGACAAGGACTCAAGTAAGTCAAGCTGTCGTGCGTTTGAGGCGCTTGCAGCTAGTTTAAAATCAACAGCAACAACAACAACAACAACAACACTTGACACTAATAACAACAATATATATTCTGTACAAAAACACACACACACACACACACATGCATACATATATATTATATACACATATATATACATATATAAACATCTATTACATCTATGTAACTACCCAACTTCTGCGGAATGTGTCTGTCTAAAAAACCAATTCATAAAACCATACAAAATAATTGTAAGTCTCAATTGCAAATTTAACTCAATGTTAACACCAACCTCGGCATGCACCGAAGTTTTTTATACTCTTGCAAACGTTATAGATTTCTAATCTCAAAATGTGTAGCGCTAGGCGAAGTTTTTCTCTAAGGAAAATTGATTTACCTTAATTTTTTTATATATTTTTATTTGTATTATGTTTAATGTTGATTAAAGCAGCTGAATATGGGCTTCCATTAAATAAATTCAAACTTTAGGATAGGTTGTAGATATTTGATATCAAATGCAAAAAGTGAAGATCGAATTTTTACCATAAATATTTTGTTAAAATGAGGGTTGTAAGAACAAAAAAAGCATATTAAACAATTACAAATTGTATTCTTTATTAGAGAAGAGAGCAATTTTATTATTAGAGCATCTGTTTGCAAGTGTGTAAAATGCTTTCTTTTATTTAAACTTATGCCTTGCGCTGCTTTCAAAACTATTTTTCCCCCCGCTTCTCTTGTGGCTCTTCTGCTTGATTTTCTATGCGTGCTTTTAACTTTGGCATCTTGTTGCATGCGTCGACTTAACTAATGCACTTTTAATTTTTGTTGGTATATTACAAACATTTTCTCTACTTGATTTTATACTCTTCCACTTTGCTTGCTCTCGTTTTGATTTCGTATTTATAATTCTCAACTTGTTGTTGCCACTTAAAGATTCCGTCTATGCTGCCTCGTTGGCCGCAGTGTCGCGCGTGGAGCAGGCTCTGAGCGAGGCCGCCAGCTCGTTGAGCTCCTTTACGCAACGGCCGGGACCCCGTAGACCTTGGATGCTGCAAATTGAGGTTCGTTTTTTGGTTGATTTCATAATAATTATTTCAACTTAATTCAAATTCTCTTATGTAGATTTGGCTGCTGCTCGCAGATGTCTACATGCGCATCGATCAGCCCAATGAGGCGCTCAACTGCATACACGAAGCGACGCAAATATATCCGCTCTCGCATCAGATAATGTTTATGGTGAGCTATGTCTGTGCGTTTAATACCCATTCAATGTTTAACATGCACTTTACAGCGCGGTCAGGTGCATGTTTATTTGGAGCAGTGGCTGGAGGCCAAGCAATGCTTTCTGAATGCAGTTGCCGCCAATCCGAATCATACGGAAGCTCTGCGTGCTTTGGGCGAAACGCATTTAATACTGGGCGAACCGCGGCTGGCCGAAAAGATGCTCAAGGATGCTGCCAAATTGGATCCAAATTGCCCAAAGATATGGCAAGTGTTACAATTTTACAATTTTTATGCATGCCTCACTGATAAATCTATCTGCAGGTTTGCGCTGGGTCAGGTTATGGAAACATTGGGGGATTTCAATGCATCCGCCGATTGTTTTGCCACCTCGCTGCAATTGGAGCCGTCGTGTCCGGTGCTTCCGTTTACCTCGATACCTTTAGTTTTCGACTAGGCATTTTCATGTAAACATGCATTTGTTTTTTGTTTATCGTTTATGTAGCATACCTCAACTAACCTCAAAGAGAAAAAAAAAGAGAAGAAACCGAACAGAGCAATATTACTTACTAGACAATTTAACGATATGTATTTTATTTATATAATTTTTGTTTTTATTATGATTTTCAATTGTTATTGTCAGTATTAAGGCAAACGTTGATGGTGTAAATTGTGTGTGTGTGTGTGTGTGTGTGTGCGTGTATAAATTATTAGCTAGCCCTATTCAAAATGTTAAATGCATAACCACTAAACTAAGCCAACTATATAAATATTAACAACAATTTAACTGTCTGTAACAGCCCAAGTTCATTCCAATTACTTTGATAGATGATATCCAAGGCGATGAAAAACTTGGCAGTTTATAGAAAAGAAATGGAATTTAATTGTTTTCATATTATATCTATTGCATATTGTTATATACATATACGTAAACCTATACAACCGTATACCAAATTAATTATTTAATTTAAAATTATATATACATAAAATGGATATTTGGAATGGAAATGTTTTGATTTCTAATTTATTGCACCTCGATTTCTTATATATAATGATACAGCCAATCAAGTGTTATCTATAAATTTTGAAGATAGTTAATATTTAGAAAGAATATACTTAAAGGAAATTACCCGGCATGGCACGGCTTATGTGAATATGATTTAAAATACCAATCGTATCGAAATTGTTCTCAATCGCCTTTGCTGCAGAATTTGAACCAGCGACTGCTCGCTTATTAGTTTGACGCTCAGCCACACTGGCTTATAACCCAAGTTAGGCTCACTTTCGATTCAAAAGAAAGGTTCAGTAATTATGTAAGCTTCCTAAAAGGTCAGAGCAAATATTTGAAATGTATATCTCATTTTTTTTAGACATATAGTAGGAATTATTTATAAGATTTGTTATCTTTAAAGTGTAGAAAAACTGCGTTGACTTCTGCAATATTTGTTTAAATTGCGTGTGTGAAAGTTTTTGGCAGTTTTCTAAATGCCAGACCAAACTTCCGGCTTTCCTTGCAGCTGTCCCTCCTATCATTTCCTTTCACTTTTCACATTCTAATTGGAGCAGCTAATTTCCGGCATTAATGGCGGAAAACCTCGGAACAGTTGCCAAAAAAAAGAAAACAGAAACAACAAGCCAAAGTCAAAACAAAAATAACTCCACAGCTCGTTAGGCCTGTGCGTTGCCCGGGACAACGCGCGAGCGGGCAATCAATAAAAAAGTAAACAAAAGTAAAAAATGTGGAAAAAGCGAGGAAAATGCTATTGCAGGTGCGCAGGAATTTGGGTTTACGAGCAGCGCATTGACGTATGGCAGCCGCCAAAATAAATAATATCCTAGTATTCGATTTGGAATGCAAACATAGAGAGTTTGTGCCAGTTTAGAGTTTGAACCAAATCCCTGCCAATGGGCCAGCCAGCAGGATGACGCCCAAGAAAAAGCGACAGCGCGGCGGCAAGAGTCGCGTCCAGGCCCAACAACACCAACAGCTGCTGGCTGCCCTGGAGCTGAACGACAGCTGCTGCGACATTTGCCACTGCGACTGCTACAGTTCGCACAGCAGCAGCAATGTGAGCGGAGGCGCACAGTCGGCAACGGAGCAGCAGCTGCAGCAACTGGAGCACGAGATACACGCCTTGGAGCAACTGCAGCGCAGCGAGAGCGTCCAGTGCGGCCAGCGGCGCAGGCAACGCAGCGCTTCCAAATCCCCAATCCAGGCAAAGGCCACGCACAATCGACGCGGCTCCGCCGAGTGCCAGACGCGCGTCGCCACAGCCTCCGCCAGAGGCAGGCGCTCCAAGAGCGCGGGCAGCCAACGCAGCCAGTCCAGACAGGCAACGCCGGAGAAGCCTAACAAACAGCGAACGGGACGTGCGGGCGCGTTGCGCGATTGCCAGATGCTGCAGGTGAGTGTTGCACGATTCGACCAGTTCGTGCATCCATTTTATACCCTTACAGACGGGTTCGTGACCTTTGTCATGTAATGTGTAACCACTTGAAGAGGAGAGCTTAGGATTATATTAATATATCAATATATCAATTCTTCCATAAGGCATAAATTGACTAGGGTATTTCATCTTCGGTGTGCCGAAGTCTTACCTGCAAAAATCTTCATGTCCGTATATTATTGCTATACTGCAGACTGTGTTTGGTTCACTGAACGCTGTCGATGCCACGACGCTGGCCATCAGCGGCAGCAGCAGATCCAAGTCGAAGTCACAGGAGAACATGGCGCTGGTGCCGTTGGCCCAGAACTTGGCGCGCGGCAACTCCTTGTGCGCCTCCATGGCCAATCTGTGCCTGGCGCCAACGGTGCGCGCCGCCTACGCGCAGGTGCCCAGCCACGATCAGAGGATACTCAATCGGATGGCCGTGAAGCGCAGCGAACGGGCGGCGGACAAGGAGCACGCTTGGCTGGCGCGCAAGTACTGGGAGAATGAGCGGCTGGAGCGTCAGCTACTCAAGTGCGAGCAGCTGGAGGAGTACAAGCGCGCCGTGCACGACAAACAGTTTCAGGACTATCTGATGACCAAGGCGCGCCTCCAGGCGCTGGCCGAGCGCGATCTGGCCGAGCTGCGACGTCTGCGCGGCGCACTGGACGCCAAAGATGCGGCGGCCAAGCAGCGCTTGGACGCGATGCGACTGGAACGTGACCTGACGCTGTGCCAGCGCCGCTATGAGGAATCGCGACGCAACGAGGCCGTCAATCTGCAGCAGGAGGAGCAACAGCTGGATGCGACACTGCGGAAGCGTGACACTTGCATGCGGCTCACACAACGTCTGCGCCGGGCGGATGAGCTGCGCACCCAGCTGCTGGAGGGCTATCTGAAGCGGCTGCAGCACGACAATCAAGTGGAGCAGCTGCATCATGAGGAGCATTGGCGCGAGCGCCAGCAATTGGAGCGCCTGAAGCGTGAGCAGCTGCAGCATGACATACAAAGGAAACGCCAGCAATCGCAGCGCTTTGTGGACTCTCGACAGCGGCGACACGAGGCACGCTTCCGCACTGCCAAGATCTCGGCCAGCCTCAGGGAGCTCGTCCGGCAGTCTGTCACACCTGAATCGGCTCTGGATCAGCATTCGAACAGTTTCTATGCCCAGCAGCAGTCACAGCTGGGTCGCCTGCTTTTCAAGAAAGATTCTGCTAAATAGCTAACCAACGTGTTTTCAAATATGCAATTGTTGTTATTATGTAAATAAAATAATAGTGTAATATTAATAATATTTACAGATGGCGTTTTGCCGTTTTGCTTAATACTAAATCATATCAGGGGCGCATCTTATAGATAAAAGTGTCGCTACAGGGTGGGTGGACCTCACATTAGGACCTCCTGTTACAGCTTTTGACTTATTGCAGCAGCAATCCCCCCCGAGTTCGAATCCTGTTGACGGAATTCAAAGAAAGTCGGACAAAGTTAAATATTTTTTTTTTTTTTTTTTATTTAAAATAAAACCATGATGCAAGTGGAAAAAAAGTTGCCAACAACACGCGGTGTTCCCAAGCGGTCCCCCATCTAAGTACTAACCGCGCCCGACGCTGCTTAATTTCGGTGATCGGACGAGAACCGATGTACTCAGCGTGGTATGGTCGTTGGCGAAAGTCGACTAGCCAAAGCCTGATTTTATTATAAAATTTGGCAAGTGCATTTTGGCTGAAATATGCCAAAAGTATAACTTGAGCCAGTAAGATATTGAGTCGGAAGGCATTTCTTTTTTTTAATAATATTTTAGTTAAAAAATATCAAGTTTTTTATCTGTTAACAAAACAACTATTTTCGCTGAGTAAGGAAAAGACTTTATTTTTTATTTAATATAATATCAATTTTCAATAGGAAAAAATTGAAAATAGAAAAATATAGAAAGTAGAAAATTGGAAATTTCTAGAAAAGAAAAGAAATTTGAAGAGCCTTTAAGCAAGATAAATGTGATAAGTGTTCAGGGAGCATATTTAAAGAATTAATATTTATGCCTTGTGGCAAGTGCTTAGTTGACTTGGACACCAATTTAATTTTAGCAGATTTCGAGCATTTGTTCTTATCTCAAAATTGTTGTAGGAACAATAAAGACAGTCCAACTAGAACCCAGAATGGGAGAGGAGACAGAGGCAGACAGATCACGTAGCCGGCGCAATGGCAACGGCGTGAAGTGTTGGCCACGGACAAAGGCAATGGGCACGGCCGGGATCTGGGCTGGGTTGGGTCAATGTCTGGGCACTTGATTCACCTCGCTGGGGGACACACGTCGCACTTTGCTGCTATGACTAATTGGCCAGGGCGCGGACACACAATAAGCGAATTGATATGTAAATAGTTACTTTAGTGAAATGCCCAACCAGTTACACTATAAGTATTTGTCTCGGACCTGCGGGTGAGATGAGGTTATCATGGCCGATTGTGACTCAGTTGGAGTGCTCTCTGCTCTCTGCTCTTTGGCACTAGCTGTACGCCTCCTGTCGCCAGCCAAACGAATCGCTGACCTAGGCCAGGCGGCGGCGGTCACTTCCCGGTGTTAAATCAAAGTTAATTGGATTAACACTTTTTTTGTGGCTCAAGTCAGGTCCATAATTATGACATATCTCGTTAGTTTTATTTTCTTTTCTTCTTTTCTTTTTTTTTTTTGTTTTTTTTTGTTCACATTATTGTTGTTGTTGTGGTCATTTTGTAATTGAAGCAAATGCGGCCCACAATCAAAATTGTCTTTACTGGCTGTGGCTGTGAATGTGTCTGCTCTGGATGCCTGGCATTTGCTTGTTTACGATCAGACAGTCGGGCACTTGTTTTGATTAAAGGCGTTGATAGTGCTCCCGGTGCACATACATATATTTCTATATATATATATACATATACATACAGTATAACACTGAGAACTCAACGTTCAATGGACAGAGTCGTACTTAGTATGCTCTATAAATAAGCTGAAATTGTTATGGCTCGGGCATTTTCCATGCTGATAAGTTTTGACTATCAGCGGAAAATTATTAAATTTTATGGTATGAGAATATTATTATTTATTAGTGTTAAAGGTCAACGCTTCTTTTGTTGTTGCAGTTATCGAATAGATATTTAACATAGCACAAACATAGCCTGAGCTTAGATAACAAAGCACAAACATAGCCTAATTAAACATAGCATATTTAACATAGCTTAAACATGTTATTCGAAACATGTTAACAATTGAATGAGGTTTACAGAGGTTAACAGAAAATAAATATATGCTGAATGGAAACTGGATCCATATGATAAAAATATGAATTTTAAATTTTAATTTGGAATCTTTAAAATTTAATTTGCAAGCTTTAAATGTTATTTAATTAAATTCTTAATATAACATTTTTTTTCTTTAAACTTTCATCAATTTCAAATAAAAATTATTTTTAAGGAATATTTGTCTGGAATGTTTAATATAACGAATTCTTTTATAGAGTATGCCTAGTTTAATTTAAAATTTAACAAAAAAAATGCGAAAGAAATTGCTGGAAAAATTACTTGCGCTTTTTCAACATTCACTATCTTACATTTTATTGTAGTTGTATTATCTGTGGCAAATATACACTTTTCATTTTTATTTATAATTATTGTATACATTTAATTGTTGGACTTAATAGGTACGATAGGGCATACATATTTATAATATATATATATATATATATTATATACATATAAATATACAAAGATGTTAAATAATGCGATAAGCTTGGTTTCGTAAGATTTTAAGCGCGTGCTTCTATCGAAATTAAAGTTATATATTATATATAATATATAATAAATGGTCTCAAGGTCTTTTATATTGTTGCAAATTTGGACGTTGTTATGAAATATTTAAAAATATAGAAGACCTTAATAATTGTTCATTTCTAATTTATTCATTTTATGGAATGCAGCTCAACTATGCTTAAAAATATTGTGGATATATATGAAATATATTAATATTTATATTGCCAATAAATAGCTTTGTTTTAGATTATTATATATATATATAACTATAATAATATAATAATATAGATATAACTAATAATTAATTTAAAATTTAAAAATTAATTGTTTGCTATTTTAAATATTTACTTGAATTTAAATTAGATTTTTGTTAATTTCGAAAGAAAAACATTTAGACAAATTTTGCTTGGATCCGCCACAAAGCAAAGATAGCTCACAAATTATATATATTTTCAAATTTCTATTCAGATTTGATCTGATGTCATTGCTAATACTTCCAGCTGCTGGACATGCAGAGGGCGAAACTTTTAAATTTGCAAAAGCAGCTATTAATTTTTAAGCACTTTAGAATTTTAATGAATTTTTCATTGAATTCGCTAATTTTCTTATGCATAGTTTTTAGGAAGGAATTTAGTTTATTAATATTTGCTTAGTTAAAAAACGAAGTAAGCTAATTTTTGGTGTCTGAATCGCACACTAGGCCTCAATATCCATGGAGTCTGTGTATTTGAGATTCAGCCGCGCCTCAATAATATTCGAATGCTGTCGCAGAGTGTGATTGTTGAGATTGCCAACGCTCTGATAGGACTTGTCGCAGTAGGTGCAGGCATACGGCTTCTCGCCGGTGTGGACCAAATGGTGCGAGTTGAGGTGGCCCCGCGTGAAGAAGGCCTTGTTGCACTTATCACATTTATACGGACGCTTGGACATGTCGGGATCGTGGGAGCGCATATGGGTGCGCAGATCCGATTTGGTTGGCCACGTTTTGCCGCAGACGCTGCAGTCAAAGATGCGCGGCTTTGTTTCGCCCGTATGCATGCGGGCATGCGAGATCAGTTGGGTGCGCAGCACGAAGCGCCGATCGCACAGCTCGCAGGCAAATGGCCGTTCCGTCGAGTGCAGCGATGTGAAATGATAGCGCAGGCTGTGACGCGATGCGAAACTCTTCGAGCACACCTCGCACTCATAGCGCAGCCCATCGCCCAGTCCGTGCACCGATATCATGTGCAACTTCAGCTGAAAGTTACGCGTAAATTTCTTCTCACATTCGCTGCACGGACGCAGCGATTTTGGTGTCCTGGTACGCGTCGCGCCACCTGTTGTTGTCCCCGACTTGTTGCGTGGCGCCCTCTTGCGCTTGGGCACATCCACTGGCGCTGGCATACTGTCCGCCTTGCCGCCCTGCTGCTGCTCCGCGGGCGCATTGCTTGCCTCCAGTTGCTCCAGTGTGGCGGGCAAATGGATGGGCGTGTTCAGTGTCCCGGTATCCCAGCTGGCAAATGTCGTCTCTGGCTGCTCGTAACTGGACCGAAACAAATCCGACAAATCCATGGTACCTGTCAGGTAAGAGAAACACGTTATTTACTTTGCATATGTGGTATAGTTATATCTGATAAATCTCCTAGGTTGCCCAAAAATTCGGCACTATTTATTGAGAGTAGGGTTTCTGGACATGAGTTTACAGACAACCTGCATATTCACTGAGAGGGCGTGTCACACAACCACATCTTTTAGCTTTACCAACTTTAATCTCTTAAGCAATTATCTACTATGAAAGTCTGGAGTAAATACATATAGTCTTAAGATTTGAAGACTATCTCCTGATCAAATCGCCACAATTCCGTTGTTCGAAAGGTATTCTTGTCTTGGCTGGCTTTCAATCTATAGTTAAGAAGCGTTCCAAACACAAACCCGAAGAACCTTTATTAAATGAACGAAAGGAAATAGGAAAAGTATATGGATTTTCTAAATATTTTGGATAATCTCTTCTCTTTATTTGTATTTGCCTTTCAATATTGGTAATCAAAACCAACCGAAAATCAGCAAATTACAAAGCTGCCAAAGGGCTATAAATAGTATCTCAAATAGGATTTTGTAATCTTCAGATTAGCTTGTTTGCTTTCGCTTATAGGCTATAAAATCAATACTACACAATATAGGAGTCTATATCGAGGGTTTTGGATATGCAAAGGTCATCTTTGTATATTCCTAACAGTTCTTGAGAGATTGTTTGTATTACAGCTATATGATTTAATAAATATGATATAACAGTTTGATGCCGATGAAATTTTGCTGATAGCGAATTTCGTAATAGCTCAGTTTTGTTGAAGTATCTACAAAAATTTCAAAAGTAGAAATTTCGAACGATAGCTTATATGAGAGCTTTCAGTTGAATCGAAAGTGGGCCTGATAACGAATTGGCGCTCATGATACGATTTATCAAAATATGTGCCATTATTTCCGCAACAAACCTATGGAAGCGGAAATCTTGAAGGTTAAGATAATGCTGAATCATGACCTGGCCTGACCTAGCGCATGTTACTAAATTCCAAAATGAAAACTGAAGCGGCATTATGCCAAACATTATTCAAAGATTTGTTACTCACCGAAATCGACCGGTTCCAGCTGCGATGACATGGACGTTGATTTGGCCTGCTCCAGACAGCCGACTTCGCGTTCGAGGCACTCGAGCGCATCGTCCAGTGCCTGCTCGTGCCGGGCACGTAAGATGCGTTCAGATTCCTCGCAGCGCTCCCGGAACTCGAGGGCATCGTGCAGACGATGCAGGCACAGCTGACATATGACATCGCTGGGCACAATCTGTAGATTGGGCGCCAGGGTGAGCAGCTCGATGCTTAGCTGATTATTGTCACGAATGCTGTGGCACTGCGCCGGCTGCTCCATCAGGCAGCAGCGGCAGACCACGAAGACCGAGCGATTCAGCAGCGGGAACATTATAAATAATACTTAGGACCGTCCGTCCGCTCAGCTGGACCGTTGCTGGACGTCTGAGATGCGAGCGAATAATGACAACGGCCTCTATCAGAGACCCAAGTGCTGCAGCCGGTGTCGGTGCCGCTGCCTCTGCCGACGTCGATGCCTCTGCCTCTGCCTCTGCCACTGCCACTGCCACTGCCGCCGCCGGCTCAGGGCGCACCGATAGCCCTTGACATGGGCCCTGGGCGATAAGCGGCCCGGGACTGTCTGTCAACGTTTGCTAATTTACAATCGCTGCTTACTAATTGATTACCATTGAGATCTGAATTGGGGATCGGCTATCTACGGTAACTGCAGCAGCGGCTCCATACGACCTGTTACCATAGGTCTTATCAGTACTGGGCACTCTCTACTGATGAACTGGTTATCTCATCGTTATAATTCGCTTTGGGTGGTCTTAGAGCTGTTTTTGATACCATCGCCCTCTGGATCTTCCAAAAATAGTCGGGCTCTTATCTCTCCTTATCGCCTGGTCGTGTTGAGCTTTGTACCGAGCGAACCCGCTCGGGTTCCCGCATTCTCTGAATGACACAATTTATTTGTTGTATTCATGTTCGGCTTTTGCCATTCAAATTTTCTAAAAGGATATTTCAAATGGGTTTCCTTCATAAACCTACTTTGTTTAGAAATCGCTTCCACGGAATCTGCTATGAGCTAGGTTTTCAAATTAAACTGCGAAAAAATTATAAAAAAAAGTTATCTTGACAAGCATTCTGGCTGCCTTCTCCATATAGACCACATACTTCTAATTTCAATTATCCTAATGTTGTCCGACCTGGTCTTGAGCCTGAAATGTACAGCTAACTATTGAGGGTGACCTCGCCTTTGGCAACAAAATGGGTTTGGGTTAGAGGCTCTCTCGAATCCTTGGCCAAACTCTTATAAAATGCATTGTACTCCACCTCAGTGACTTTGGCTGGTTTGCGTGTTCAGAAGGGCAGAATATCCCAGAAAATCTCAGGCCTGGTCATAATTCTCCTTAGCTTTTACATCCTCATCGACATCCTCGACATTATCTTCGGACGGGCATCATCTGCGCAAAAACTGATTTCAGGGTAGAAAAAGAATTGATTGCATTTATTTTTTGTATTGAAGTTAGGGCCTGAAAACTTTTAAGGCTAAGGGGCGGGAAAGTCAAATAAATCGATAGCTACAACTACACTCAAAGAAAAATTTCGCTAAATTTTAGAAAATTGCATTAAAATGAATTTCAAAGTACAGAGAAAGTAACCTTATAATACTCTATGTAAGGATACACAAAAAGCCGATTGATTCAGCTGGTTAATACCCTAGCTGGATCGTTGCTGAACGTCTCAAGCGTTTTGAGCGAATAATAACAACGGCCTCTATCAGAGACCCAAGTACTGCAGCCGCTGCCTCTGCCGATGTCGATGACTCTGCCTCTGCCGACGTCGATGCCTCTGCCTCTGCCTCTGCCTCTGCCTCTGCCACTGCCACTGCCACTGCCGCTGCCGGCTCAGGGCGCACCGATAGCCCTTGACATGGGCCCTGGGCGATAAGCGGCCCGGGACTGTCTGTCAACGTTTGCTAATTTACAATCGCTGCTTACTAATTGATTACCATTGAGATCTGAATTGGGGATCGGCTATCTACGGTAACTGCAGCAACAGCAGCGGCTCCATATGACCTGTTACCATAGGTCTTATCAGTACTGGGCACTCTCTACTGATGAACTGGTTATCTCATCGTTATAATTCGCTTTGGGTGGTCTTAGAGCTGTTTTTGATACCATCGCCCTCTGGATCTTCCAAAAATAGTCGGGCTCTTATCTCTCCTTATCGCCTGGTCGTGTTGAGCTTTGTACCGAGCGGGTTTCCCGCATTCTCTGAATGACACAATTTATTTGTTGTATTCATGTTCGGCTTTTGCCATTCAAATTTTCTAAAAGGATATTTCAAATGGGTTTCCTTCATAAACCTACTTTGTTTAGAAATCGCTTCCACGGAATCTGCTATGAGCTAGGTTCTCAAATTAAACTGCGAAAAAATTATAAAAAAAGTTATCTTGACAAGCATTCTGGCTGCCTTCTCCATATAGACCATATCCTTCTAATTTCAATTATCCTAATGTTGTCCGACCTGGTCTTGAGCCTGAAATGTACAGCTAACTATTGAAGGTGACCTCGCCCTTGGCAACAAAATGGGTTTGGGTTAGAGGCTCTCTCGAATCCTTGGCCAAACTCTTATAAAATGCATTGTACTCCACCTCAGTGACTTTGGCTGGTTTGCGTGTTCAGAAGGGCAGAATATCCCAGAAAATCTCAGGCGTGGTCATAATTCTCCTTAGCTTTAACAACCTCATCGAATCCTCGACATTAACTTCGGACGGGCACCTCAACATCTGCACAAAAACTCATTTCAGGGTAGAGAAAGAATTGATTGCATTTATTTTTTGTATTGAAGTTAGGGCCTGAAAACTTTTAAGGCTAAGGGGCGGGAAAGTCAAATAAATCGATAGCTTCAACTACACTCAAAGAAAAACTTCGCTAAATTTTAGAAAATTGCATTAAAATGAATTTCAAAGTACAGAGAAAGTAACCTTATAATACTCTATGTAAGGATACACAATAAGCCGATTGATTCAGCTGGATAATACCCTTAGCTGGATCGTTGCTGAACGTCTCAAGCGTCTCGAGCGAATAATAACAACGGCCTCTATCAGAGACCCAAGTACTGCAGCCGCTGCCTCTGTCGATGTCGATGACTCTGCCTCTGCCGACGTTGATGCCTCTGCCTCTGCCTCTGCCACTGCCACTGCCGCTGCCGGCTCAGGGCGCACCGATAGCCCTTGACATGGGCCCTGGGCGATAAGCGGCCCGGGACTGTCTGTCAACGTTTGCTAATTTACAATCGCTGCTTACTAATTGATTACCATTGAGATCTGAATTGGGGATCGGCTATCTACGGTAACTGCAGCAACAGCAACAGCTCCATACGACCTGTTACCATAGGTCTTATCAGTACTGATTATTCAATGTTTAGCACTGACGACTGATCTCATCGTTATGTTTCGCTGTTTTTGATACCATCGCCCTCTGGATCTTCCAAAAATAGTCGGGTTCTTATCTCTCCTTATCGCTTGGTCATGTTGAACTTTGTACCAAGCGGGTTTCCCGCATTCTCTAAATGACATCATCTATTTGTTGTATTCATATTCGGCTTTTGACATTCATCTGGAAGGATCCTTAGAATGGTTTACCATTTGGCCTACAGTCGCATATTTTGAAATTTTCAAATCACATTTAGCAAATTGTCTAAGATCCGGAAACGTAATTGGAAGCAAGCGTATGTGTTTTTTCCGGTTCCTTTTTTTTAAAGTTTGTTAATAGAAATATGAAAAAATCGAGAAAAGATGCTTAGGGCCTGCCAGAACATGTACAAGGTAGGATTCATGTTATATCTTATCAAATTTCAACTGAGTTAAGAGTTAAGAGCCGAAAATCACAGCATACTATATTTCGTTTTGATTTGTCAAAACTTCTATAAATAATACACAAAACATATTTTAGAACTCAGTAGACTTGTATAGTATAACTTTATTCTAAAAGATGAATAATGTAACCACCTGTTCAATATTATGTTTTGGGTTTCTGCTGTGCATTTTAAACTGTGGTAAGTGGAGAATTTGTTGGTACAGACTTTGATAAGATTTAGGTTTTATTTAAAATAATATGATATAAAATATGCATTTCCTTTAAGCGATAACTCGCTTCGTTTCCTCAATATCGATAAATATCGAAGATGTTTATTTATAACATGATAAGAAATGTAAAAAAACTCGATTGGAACAGCTCGAATATTATGAAAAGGTTTGATAGGTCACTTGGTTGTGCCCCTTCATCAACTTTTTATTTAAGTAAAATATATAAAAAAAAATGAAAAAGGATGTCTAAGTCAGTCGGGCTAGACAGTTTTGTATATTTTAGTATAGATGTATGAATACACCTGTAATCTAATATAACTATTTGCAGAGTCAAAAAATATAACAAATAATGAATGTATCAATTGCACCGTATATAGTGGCAATTGTAAAATGAACACTACGGGATGGGCTCCATTTTGGATGTCCAAGGGGGATCATCGCATAGTTAGGAAATTGCGCACCTATACGGACGGGGATCCACATCTAGCTCTATGCGTTATTGATGGTTATGAGATAACAGGTAAATCGAATTATTTATATTCATGAGAAATGCATCCATTAAATTAACAGAGTACTACAGCTGAAATAGAAACATTTATATGCTTTTGGGCACCATATATGGGATGTCAGGCTGCTGCCAGTAAGAATTACATAAATATACATCATATGCATCATATAGCCTGTCAAGTATGTGCCAGATATTGCAAATGCCAGAAGCAAAGGATTACTGCAAAAGCTAGTCCGTCTTCCAGCTATTTTGGTATGCCTGGCAAATGGTTAATGCTTTGGCCTTTCATCTACGCATTCGCTTAACTTGAGCATTTATTCCCCAAGTTGGAAAACTCTCTTCGGAAATATATATAAAAATATTTATATATACACTTTAAAAATTAAATATTTAACAATGTCTTATGACCCTTAAGAGAGTCAGTTAAATAATAAAAATAATGCGCTGAGCTGAAGTTAATTTGCAGATCATTTATTTTTCAATTATTTCCAGAACTTTAAGAGGGTCAGTCGAGGTGCTACGAAATTGGAAGCATGAAAACTTTCCTAACTCAAGGAGAACATGTGTGCTAGATCTATGCTAAGCTGCCGTCACAAACATTCTAGTTTCAATATGACATTCAAATGTGTGTAAGTCCTGAGTTCAAAGATTAACCCGTACGACATTTGAGGAAGGAGGAGGTATCCAGAGTTCTAGAACTGTGTAAACTATACGAGAGTATACATCCCCACTTTAAGACCTCTAGCTGTCAAAGAATCATATGTCGAATCGGATCCTTATCAATTTCATGGAAGCAAGGCAAGTTATCGATGATTTGATATTTCAAATCAAGACAGATCGACGAACCTGATACGAATATGTGTATCCCTGCGATCATTTCTAATCAATTCCCGACTAGTTATGTATATTTGCACAGAAATTGGTTTTATTATGCTGCTGATTAATTTGATATTTTTGATATAAAAGACTTAGTCGTGTCTTTCCTATTTGGTGCTGAAGTAAGTTTAGATATATACTCTTCTGAAATATTCCAAAATCTATTTGGGCCCGAAACGTTTACAATACTCAGCATGCTGGTATTTAAAGATCATTTTTATTTTGCTTTCTGTTTAAAATTATGCAAACTTCGTTGCTTTTTAAATGGCTTTTATACCTTTCTATATGTTATTATACAGACAGTAAGTATATGAATAATACATACAAATTATGTTTATAATAAATGCCACAGTGTCATGCCACATCGAACAGTTGCAAGTGGTCAGTCAAATAATGTATGCGTCTTATGCGATGAATATGTTTATAAAAATTGTATAGTGGCCAGGACTGGAATGGCTGCCCATTCGTCCACTGCTTGGGATATGGTTAAGGTTGAAAGACTCACAGTTGGCGAACAGCATGAAAGTCAATTTAACAAATGCGTTAAGGGCTATAAAATAACCGGTAAGTATAGGATATAATAAATGAGCTTTTTGCATCCCAGCATCAAAGATCATTTTGGTATTTCAGATGATTTAAATAAATTTGTTTGCTTTTGGTCTGCCGAACTGGGCTGCCAAGCAATCGCAAATAGTACACAATTGAGCAATACAGAATCAATTTGCAAGGCGTGTGCCAAGCACTGCGGCTGCGAGCTGTCCAGTTCAGCCTTACCTGGCATCGATGCTGTGCTAATATTAACCATATGCCTTGACCTGATCATTATAACTTTGTCGTAACTTAATTAAAAATATATGAGAAATACAAAAAGTTATTTATTAATTTATTACTTAAATTTGCGGAGAGGCATATGTACAGGCAGAAGAAAACATTGAGAAGAGGAAGATGAGTTGAGTCCATGCCTCGTCTGCTCAATGTAGAATAACTTGCGTAATTCGGAAGTCATTCCACTAACCGACTCGGCACAGTACGTGAAATCTGCGTGGTAGCCGTGAGTGATTGTCCAAGCATTGGCATTTACCAAGCATCTGCGAAAGGCCCAATCAGTGGTAAGATACTTGTACCAAGCCATGAGCTAAACCAGAAGCAGCCTGGTCTGGTACGACGCGCCTCGAATGGAGTAAGAGTTGACCCATTTGTTGGCGTGGGACAGAAATGTTAAGCAGATCGGCCGTGGTACTACGGGCAGGCAGGCGTCAGCGAAACTTTGTTCCTTCCTGGTGTTTTTGACTGCGGTTCCTAGAGGAGTAGCATGGTTGCTGTGGTTTATACCCAAATACGTGGCTAGAGCTCGGCGTGGAGTTGCGTAACAGTCGGGGGGGCTGTATCCACAGACCAGCTAAGGTTTTAGGTCGTAGTAGTTATAGTAGTTATATATATAATAATATAGTTATATATTGGTGTAACATATTACTAGGTATAAACAGATCCACATCATTTCGTATTCTCCGCCCAAAATTGTATGTATTTTAACATATAAAGCAGATTAATATTAGTCTCAACATGAGGAAAAGTGAAAACTACGTTTTATCAATTATGCTTATTGCTATTGTAGTTTGGAAATCGGGTAAGTTATCTACTGCACGTTGTTTCGTAATAATGGAAAAATGTTACAATTTTTAGAGGCATATGATGATGACGAATTGAATAATCAATGTGTCGAATGCGATAATGGAGATTGTAAAATATTCTATAAAGGTTGGATGTTCTTAAGAGATCATCCAAAAGATAAGACATTAGTTCATCGAATTCCGCAAAACACAGACACCTATGATCCATTGGCTGAATGCGTATTGCCGGGTTTTCGTATAAAGGGTAATTTTTTAATTTGCAGTAAGTATTAACAGCTAATAAATTTTACACCGATTATGCAGGTAACTTGGAAAATTTTCTATGTTTTTCGTCGCCAATAATGGGATGCCAGCCAGTCGCAAATAAAACATTGATTACGCTAAACAAATCTGAAAAGATGTGTTCGGTGTGTCTTCAGTTCTGCGGTTGTAATTATCCAGGAAGATCCTCATCCATCGTAAGCAGCCAAGTTGTACTATTATCTATGTGCTTTATTGTGTTTTTGGTAGGCATATAATAAGGAGAATGTTTTAACAGATCTGTAACTCAAAAATAAATAAAAACATAACAAATATCTCGTGAAAGAAGTCACTTGGCCTACTAGAAAAATAACTACTAAGAAACAATTATTAAAATATAAAACATAAGATTCAAGGCTGTGAGAAAAAGAAAAATATATCGAGATATCTAATTACAGATGTGTATATTTAGCTAGGTCTGAAATTATATATGCCCGAATTTTAAATGTATTGAATGATGGAAATATTTTAAATTATTAAATTATTAATCGGCTAGTTTTGATAAGAATTATTTTTGCAAGCTAAGAGATCGTGACGCGGGGTTTTCAGTGATAATGTGTACCCACTTGCATAGTTTGTATACATATAGTATGTAAAGGTTATAGAGCTTAATTAGCTTAATTTATAAACAGGGAAAGCCCCTCAATAACATATATATTTAGCTAACATAGACCTGTTATCTGTAACAGATCTATTCGCATGCACTCATAAGTTTCTCAATGTACATACAGGTATATAAGGGCTTATTTATGCCAAGTAATATTGTTACATGCCACGTGGTTTGTGAACTTGATCTCCTTGATTAGTCATCTATAAAGAATTTTCGCGACATTCTTATGGTTAATGATCCCAACGCAACTGCAATGAACATGTCCCCACATTTCTAAGACCTTAAATGAACACTTATTTAATCAAATATTCGCAACACAGTGAGAAAAATTTTCCTGGAATAACAGAGTGGCATTCATGTAATTTTCAAATTAAAGTGATTAACCGCAGGCAGCTTCGCTTGAACGTATGAAAACAGATGAATAAGAAGCACAGAGTAAGACCTAAAGTACGTCAACATCTCAATATCAAAGTTTTTGGCACAGTGCACGCTGCGGCTTTTATGCTGCTAATGTGTAAGAATCGCAGCATCATTCAAAATCCAATCAACGCCTCCTTAATGCTGCGATGTTTACCCAGGCTCACACATATATGTTTTTATATATATAGAATGTCGCTAAACACTGATTGCACAGAATTAAATTCAACTATACGACTCGCGGTCGCACACAGTACGTAGTACTCGTAGTACAGAGATACAGATACGGATACAGATACAGATACAGATACAGATACAGATACAGATACAGATACAGATACAGATACAGATACAGATACAGATACAGATACAGACAGATACAGATACAGATACAGATACAGATACAGATACAGATACAGATACAGATACAGATACAGATACAGATACAGATACAGATACAGATACAGATACAGATACAGATACAGATACAGATACAGATACAGATACAGATACAGATACAGATACAGATACAGATACAGATACAGATACAGATACAGATACAGATACAGATACAGATACAGATACAGATACAGATACAGATACAGATACAGATACAGATACAGATACAGATACAGATACAGATACAGATACAGATACAGATACAGATACAGATACAGATACAGATACAGATACAGATACAGATACAGATACAGATACAGATACAGATACAGATACAGATACAGATACAGATACAGATACAGATACAGATACAGATACAGATACAGATACAGATACAGATACAGATACAGATACAGATACAGATACAGATACAGATACAGATACAGATACAGATACAGATACAGATACAGATACAGATACAGATACAGATACAGATACAGATACAGATACAGATACAGATACAGATACAGATACAGATACAGATACAGATACAGATACAGATACAGATACAGATACAGATACAGATACAGATACAGATACAGATACAGATACAGATACAGATACAGATACAGATACAGATACAGATACAGATACAGATACAGATACAGATACAGATACAGATACAGATACAGATACAGATACAGATACAGATACAGATACAGATACAGATACAGATACAGATACAGATACAGATACAGATACAGATACAGATACAGATACAGATACAGATACAGATACAGATACAGATACAGATACAGATACAGATACAGATACAGATACAGATACAGATACAGATACAGATACAGATACAGATACAGATACAGATACAGATACAGATACAGATACAGATACAGATACAGATACAGATACAGATACAGATACAGATACAGATACAGATACAGATACAGATACAGATACAGATACAGATACAGATACAGATACAGATACAGATACAGATACAGATACAGATACAGATACAGATACAGATACAGATACAGATACAGATACAGATACAGATACAGATACAGATACAGATACAGATACAGATACAGATACAGATACAGATACAGATACAGATACAGATACAGATACAGATACAGATACAGATACAGATACAGATACAGATACAGATACAGATACAGATACAGATACAGATACAGATACAGATACAGATACAGATACAGATACAGATACAGATACAGATACAGATACAGATACAGATACAGATACAGATACAGATACAGATACAGATACAGATACAGATACAGATACAGATACAGATACAGATACAGATACAGATACAGATACAGATACAGATACAGATACAGATACAGATACAGATACAGATACAGATACAGATACAGATACAGATACAGATACAGATACAGATACAGATACAGATACAGATACAGATACAGATACAGATACAGATACAGATACAGATACAGATACAGATAAGATACAGATACAGATACAGATACAGATACAGATACAGATACAGATACAGATACAGATACAGATACAGATACAGATACAGATACAGATACAGATACAGATACAGATACAGATACAGATACAGATACAGATACAGATACAGATACAGATACAGATACAGATACAGATACAGATACAGATACAGATACAGATACAGATACAGATACAGATACAGATACAGATACAGATACAGATACAGATACAGATACAGATACAGATACAGATACAGATACAGATACAGATACAGATACATATACAGATACAGATACAGATAGTAATCTACTGACACCAACTCAATTGAATGGGCCGTCAATCCTCGGCCGAGTTGAACGTGCTTATCTGACATTCTGTTTACGCTTCCATCAGCTCTTTCAGCGGATCTGCGTCCACATAGTCCACATACGCGTCTGTATAATACCTTCAATATATGTGGCACATTGCTTCTGCATAGTTTTTTTTATTATTTTATCACACGACAGCCCACAAAACGGCGCCGTGTGTGTGCGTGCGTGTGTATTTTTACTGTTTGAAATAAATTGTATATAATTTTTATTAAAATTTCCGCTTAAACATTTCCCAGTGGTTGTGTGTGCGCCTGTGTGTGTCTCTTTGGTTCGTCAGCTCTTTCTCTATGCTAGTCAATTTTATAAATTCTTAAGCAAATTTTTCACACCGATTTGTTCAATTTTTTATTTCTAGAACATTTTTAGTTCCCGACATTTAAAAAATTTAATTATATTCGTACTATGCGTTATTTTTGGATGTGAGCTTTGAGAAATTATTGCGATAGTTCCAAAGTATTTGCTTTAATGTTAGTTTTTATAATGAGTGAAGGTCTTCGGATTAGCTGAATTAGTTTTTCTTCTTTGGCTTGGTGGGATGCATTTGTTTATCAAGTTTAATGTTAATGGTAATAAATGGTATATTTTCAATAAAAATCAAATATAATTTATATCTAATTATTAATTATATAATTCCAGTGCTATAATTTTAATTCTGTATGTTCAGTGCACAGATCCTAACTACTTAAACTATCTTCCTCTCTGGCTGCCGAAACCTTCACATAAGTTGAACCGCTCCTGTTTGTTGTGCTGCATGTGAAGGTGCTGTGCTCTAGATAATTCTCAAAATTCAGTTTCAAAGGGTAAAAACACACGCGCATTTATACAAAAGGTGAATATATGTATTTCAATTACAAAGTATATATATTATATACTCTCATACATGACTATATGTTGTATAGTTCTAGAGAATCTATAAACATTTATGGTTGCTGCTACGTCTAACAATTCACTTGAAACGCCTAAAAAGGTACGCACACACACACACAAACACATACATATACACATGACACCGTTAATCGGTGTGAGAGCAAATAAAATCTGTGCGCAGGCGCTGAAGAAAGTGGCGAGCTGGCGATTAATGAACGAAAATGCGACCTTCAGACTCGAGAGTAAGGCACAGCAACAACAACAAGAGCAGCAGCAGCGAGCACCTGTGTATGAAAAAAACAGGTATAAGAAAATGAGTTTTCCCAAAAAATCATAAACCGGCGCAAACCGGTGCGCAACTGCAACAGCCGAGCCAAAGAGAGCCAAGGAGCAAGAGCGTGATCTAGAGAGAGCGACAGAGAGAGAGAGAAAGCAGTTATTAAATGTGCAACAGGTGAGCAGCAGCAAAGCTGAGCGCGAGAGAGCGTTAACAGCTGTGACTGGTCGAGTGCTCTCTCTCTCTCTCTCTCTCTCTCTCGCTCTTGCTGTCTGACTGTCTCTCGCACGCCTGGCCCAAAAAAGATGAAGCTGAGGCTCAGTCCGAGTCGGCGACACGAGACAACGGTTCAGTTTTGGTTTTCAGTCCGCGAGACGGTCTCAAAGCCAACGGTCGCCCCAGTCGTTCCGTCGCATCGTCGCAGTTCGAAACGTCACAATTTCGAATTACTTTAACGGTCAACCAAGTGCGAATGAAAATATATTTTCTATAAAAATGACGGACAAGGTAGCGCGTGTGCTTGGTGCTCAATAAAAAATAAAATAATATTTAAATCGATAGTATATATAGTTGCATAGATTATTATTATCATATGCGCAACACGACACGAGGAGTGCAATTCAATTATTTTCCACAGAGAGAATCAAAGGCTTACGGCAATTCGCAATCGAATAACTTTCAGTATATCTACAAAACATTTTTGGAAAAACCATCTTTTGGATACAATACGAACGAATATTACAACAACGACAAGGTAAGCTGCAGTGTCGAATACATGGAATTTTCTTTTTCTGTAAAGTTGCGG